TATACATATATATCAATATCATAAAATGTATTAAAAATGACATTACACCAGGGTTTAAATGAGTTGATAAAAAGTCACTAAAGTTTGAAATATTTTATTTGTTTACCTGCATATCAGTTAAGGAACATTAAACTGTAAACATGCAAATGTGTTTTTAAATTATTGAAATATTATTTTTCTCAGAGATGTTTCGAGTAAATATTTGATGACAAATGAGTTTGGCTGACAAAAACTTTTGAGAATCCCTGCATTGCATGAACAAACATATATAAACATGAAAACAGCAATGACATTACAGCTGTGAAAAATCTTTGACCAGACTTCCAGAATCACCAGTTACTGAAGGTCACCATGATCTATGTAACATTTAATGTAATGTATTATTATGTTTTTTTGTTTGTTTGTTTGTTTTTGTTTTTGTTTTTTACACTCGTTTTTAGTGTGTAATATATATATATATATATACATACACATAGATGCCTTATTAGTGGCTGTTTCTAAGGACCACTATATGTAAGCCATCTGCTGAATGCACAAAAGAAAAGTTGACTGTGCGTCTGCTACCATAGGCAAGGCCTGGTTGAGTTGTGTTAGTAGTATGTTGTCACCTGTTTAACAGATTTAATATACTGATACACATGCAGCTGTTTACGTTCACAGACATAACTGACTGTGTTTATGTGAACTCTGTGTGTTTTGTGTGAGTTTGTTGTGTGTTGTTGCTGTAGTAATTGAGGCAGGAGCTGTAAAGGCAGGGGAAAGCAGCTCATTTGCATTTAAAGAGACATGAAAGCAGCATATTTTTCGCTTGCAGTCAAAAAGGGGCATTTATAGCGTGGTATAATGAATGATCTGTGGGGTATTTGAAACTGAAACGTCACAGACATATTTTTGGGACTCCTGAGACTTACATGCATCTTATAAAAAGGGCCATATGAGCCCTTTTTTAGTTTAGTTTCACATTCTGTTGTCTTTTAAAACAAAAGCAATAAATTCTCGTACTTTCTTAATTACATATTTTGCCAGCTCAAAGTTACAATCTAATGCCCTTGTAATTGCATCATACATTGAATCAGCTTGTCCTCCTGCTTCATATCCAATGATGCATCCTCCAAGTGCTGCTATAATCAGTCCAGTGCTGATCACTGTAAGTAGTTTCTGAGCCACTGCTGCTGCTCTGTTTGCTGCTGCTTCTGCAACTTAATTTGCTGGTGCTGTAACTCCTTTAACTCCTGTAACTCTTGTAATTCCTGTAAATCCTGCTGCCCCCAAAACTTGTGCAATTCCCATTCTTCTAGCAATTACAAAAACTTGGGTCAACAGTCCTAAAATGACCAGACCGGCACCCGTCACCATCCCTGTCAACGCTCCCACAATCTTGCGTGAAATATTGGCTATTGGAAAAATACACGTTATTAGATTTTATAATGTAGTCATGTGAGAACATTATTTACATTCTTAAATTTAGTTTTGCTGATGGTTCATCACAGTTTTACACAATCTAGCCTGAGCTTTAGTTAAGCTAAACCTACCTCCCATTATTCTTGTCTGCTGTTGATGTTGGCCTCTGTAAATGAATATGACAAGATTATTAAAAACCCTGGATATGCCTTAATATCTCGAATGATTCATGGATATGTATATGTATGTCTATAAAGCATCACTCTAGTGGAAATAATAATAAAAATGTCATAAAACATTTTTCATACTAACTTTATACTTAGCAGTTTAGCATGTGATGCAGATGAACATCAAAACAATACTAAAATATCATGTTTTATTGTCCTAAATAGATATGAACAGTGGTAACTGCAAGAAAAGCCATCTTGTATTTTTGCAGCATCCAAAAAAGAAGTTCCATAAACACCGGTGTTATTTTTGCCACTCCAGATTTTGCTGTAATTTAGATCTTATTGTAAATAGCAGGCAGCATTTTGGATTTAGATTCAGTTTATTTAAACATAATATATAATATTACGTACATGATATGATTCATACATTTTTATGGTAGTTTACATAATGCTGGAACACTTCCAACTGTATACCAGTTATGCATACTAAATTATATTTTGTACAAATATACAATATGCTTAATATTTATTTATTTATATTTTTTTAGGTATTTATTTTTGGCAGGCCTTATATCTCTAAAGTATGGAAATTTACAAATTTTACAAAACTTACCAAATTTTATGTGGTTATATTCTCAAATTGATTCATATGGGGAGGGGTTATATTAAGCGTGATCTGTTGTCATGCCACAATCGTGTTGCATTGTGGTACATCGAGCTGCAGAGACCCAGTTCCTCAGTCAGCATTGACAGGTCGAGGGTCTGTCCATGCAAACTTCCCTCGCAAAAGAGGAACGCACTTTTAAATGGTGTCGGGGATTCTCTTTAGGGGAAGTGCTTAGGGAAGTTTGCGAGTGTGTGTCTAAACGTGAAGTGGAACGCAGCCTAAAGGGTTTGATCAGCGGGACCCACAGTGCTGCACATACCTTATTTAATCACTGTAGGCGCATGTAACTATCACATAAATGATATTGTGAGTACAAAAATTAGTAAAGCATGCCTTATTCACACTTACAAGCAATTGTTCTCAACTACTATCTAAATGCAAACTCTACAACATGTGCTTATTCAGTCTTACTAGGGGTTCGACCCTCACAGATTTGGACTGTTTACATCCTTTAATTAAAACATATTGTTTATTTTATTTTATTTTATTTGAGATTTTATTTGAGATTTAAACTGTCTGATATATAGAAATATTAGTGGACCTGTGGTAAATATGATATATCTCAGAAGTGGATTACCTGCAGTGATGCACCTGCTGTTTGGCTGTAGATTATTCCCTGATCTATAACGTACAAATATGACGAAAACTATAAATTTAAGTTAGTCACACCAAAAAATAACTTTCAGTGATCCAAAATCATTGACACAGCCTACTGTTGCTCACATCTCACATCTCATCTGTTGCAAAGCACTCACGCTTTAGCCTTTGGGTCAAATGAAATATGAGACAATGTAAGAGTGTGAGAGTGTGAAAACAATGTGTGTGTGTGTCTTCGGGACATTGGGTCTCATTCACTAATATTTGTGTGGAGAAAAAGTACCATCCATAACACGTTCCTACATTTTTTTAAATATAAATTTGAAATAAAATATTTAGTTTGAAAGGTGTATCATGGGTTGTTTGTGAACATGTTTGTATGCATAGCAAACCCCCAACTACTGCCATTATATCAGTGACAGTATTTTTGACAGTATTATTAACCGTTTTATAACTATTAAAACAGGTTGATACATGATTTTACAAACAAATTTCATCACTTTGTAGTAAATTAACGCATGTTCCAGTTAGGAAAGCAGCAAGAAGAGGTCTGATAGCAAAAGCTAATCAACTCAGTGTCAGTAAATGGAGTTATAATGTGAAATACTCACATCGATCAGAATCAGCAGTGCTGCAGAGGAGGTTGTTGACCACCGACAGACACAAAAAGATTTTTATTTCTTTGTCATAGTTTTAGTTTCGTTGTAGTTGTCTTGCATGTGATGCTGCTTTAAGCAGGGTCTGTGGTCATGGATAGAATCAAACAGGAAATAAATTACACCCACACATGTAGGTTAAATGTTGTCAAACTAGTTCTGATTTACTTAATCACTTCTCACATTCAATCATCAAATTCGCTGCACTTCCCGTTCAGGTTTTTTTGAGAGGTCATTTCATGGATAGCCAGAAATGAGTAAAGGCATTGCCTTTGCTGTGGCTTGGTGTAGTGATGGAGGCAAGGGGTGCATCTCATTTTGTTTTTGTGCATCCTTGTTTTCTTTCCTTTCTTAACTCCACCCCCTTAGGATGCGTGGGAAGAA